GAGGCAAAGCACTGCACTTGGAGACCGGAGCAGCCAACCTGGAATCCATGGAGAGCATGCCTGATTGTATGTGGGTAGATGCTGCTCCTCCCACCCCCATGCAAAGGGCATTGAGCGCTGTTGACGCTCCCTGGGTGTAAAAGCCTGGGCAAGCATCAGCACAGCCTCTAGCACAACGGGGATCGGGCCTCTGTTCTCGCCTGTTGCAAAAACTAAAAGGGGGAACTGTAGGGAGCTGCGTGTAGCCGCGCCCTAGGATGGCGCCCGTTTCTGCCTTCCACCCCCTCGGGGTGAGCGCTCCTGGTAATCAACAACTCCATAAAAGGCCAAGGCTTGGGCTAATGCATTGCTTCCGCGTACCTGGACCAATGGACGGTACACACGTGGCGCCCCATGATTGGAAGCCCTGAGACTTATAAGCTAAGAGCAGGGGCCTCGAGGGGGAAGAATGCTGATGTAACAGGGCAATAAAAGGCTGAGCAGACACAACCAGTGGTTGCGTCTTCCTTGCTGGCAAGGCTGCGCGTGACAGCTACATCCTTGTGGAGAAGGCTGGGCCACAGAGAACACCACGGTTGGGCTACCTCAAAAACAGCAGCAAGGTCCTAAGTCACTTTAGAAAAGTTATTTCTGTTTTTTATTTTATTCCTCACAGACCATGTGCAATTGTAGCATGCTAAGCGGCTTTATTAATGCCTGCAGCTGTCACCACACAATGTGCATTTCACGGGGACCTCTGAAATCATGCTCTGCTCGCTCAGGGTTTATTTGAAGTCCTAGTTAATCCCTCAGGTACTTGAAGGAGCATCCAGTACTGGTGTCTCAGTGAGCACGGATTGGGTGGGCGTCACACGACAGTCTCCCTGGTAGCAGCAGATAGATAGATGTTCACCGGAGGGAGTTGGGACATTTATTACCACCCATCTTAAAAAAAAAATGAGCCCTGCTTTTCCTTAGCAGATGGCCCCTCTGCGTACGGCTCATGTGCCATCTGGAATTTGTATTCATAAATCCAAACGTGAGGGCTATGTCATCTCTCCAGCTAAACTGCATTTAGGCAGCTCGCGGGGCCACCTCTCTGTCCTCTCCTTGCTAGAGGACATCGGTATGCTGCAGTATGCATAGCTCCTGGGGACAGGTCACTAGGAGTGACCGACAGGCCTCTTCACACTTCTAGGATAATGTCCAGGGGAGAACCAGAGCGAAGCCCGAGGAGGCCTGTGTCTGTGTCCTAGGAGGTCTGGGTGTAGTAGGCTGCCTGGACACACTTCACATAGCCAGAGTCCCCTTTCTCCCTGTCCTGTCCTGTCCTGTCCTGTCCTGTCCTCTCCTCTCCTCTCCTCTCCTCTCTTTTCTTTTCCCTTTTGAGACAGGGTTTCTCTATATAGCCCAGGCTGGCTTCTAACTTGAGGCAGTCTTCCTGCCTCAGCCTCCCAAATGCTAGGATTACAGGCATGTGCCACCACACATGGCTGGGGTTTTTTGTCATTGTTGTTGGTTTTTCTTTTTTGACACAGATTCCCCATGTAGTTCAGGCTGGCCTTGAGCTCACTGTGTGGCCTCAAGCTCCTGGTGATCTTCCTGCCTCAGCCTCCCAAGTGCTGGGGTTACAGGTCTAAACCGTCACACCCAGCTGCTTTACTTTCTTTCTTTTTGTACTAGAAATCAAGCTCAGGACCTTGTTCTTGCCAGGCAAGTGCTGGGCTGTGCTTCTGAGCTACATTTCCAGCTGCTTTTCTTTTTCTTGGGAAAGTTTAATTTTTAGAGTTGTGCACACAGGAAAAGTGAAATCATTTTCAAAGCTCATAACAAAAGCAGCTGCCCTGGGGCTTCCCTCCTACCACTGATTCCCACGAGGCTAGCTCTTTGTTGTGATTTTTGCATCCATATTTTTTATTGGCTTAACAACCATTTCTCTAATTGGAAATGAGACTAATTATTGTTTTGTGTTTGTTAGCCACTTATATTCCATTTTCATATGCTTTGAATATTTGTGTTGTTTTTACTTTTTTTTGCATACCGGGAATTGAATTCAGGACCTCACACTTGCCAGGCAGGGGCTGGGCCACTGAGCTGAACCTCAGACCCTGCATCCATATTTTTAAAGAATTTGCTTATAGTGCCATTTTATTTTATTTTTCTACTGTAATATTACCTTTTGCCGTCTTTCTGCAGAAGAATTTGATTTGATGCATCACTATTTCCTTTCCTGCAGGGATTCATTCCATTTCTGGCCAACAGTAACCTATATTTCTATTGTTACAACCACAGAAATAGCGCTCAAAGCTTAGTCACATTCAGTGCGGTGATGCTTTACCTACAAAGACCACACATTTGAGCCCACCTGGACAACTCAGCAATTTGGTGAGACTCCGGCTCAAAATAAAAAATAAAGGGCTGGGGATGTAGCTCAGTGGGAAAGTCTGGGCTTAAATCTCTGTTCCCTTGAAAAAATAAATAAATATATAAAGTCAATAAAGAGCTTAGCCATGTGATCTACTGTAGTTACGTTTGTTTCCTAACTCCCTCCCTCCCTCCCTCCTTCCCTCTCTCCCTTCTTGCTTTCCCCCTCCCTGCCTCCCTCCTCTCTCCTGGAGACTGAGGCCAGGGCCTTCACACTGAGCTCCATTCCCAGCCCCCCTTTTTCAATTTTGTACTTTAAGACAAGGACTCACTAAATCATTGAGTGTTCAGACTGTTGAACGGGATCCTCCTGCCTTAGCCTCCAGCGTGCTGGGATTACAGGTGTGTGCTTCAACCCTCTTCTTTCTCCTTCTCCTTCTTTTTCTTTTTAGTGCGCAGAAGCCTGTTAGAGCTTTTGTTTGTCCTTGGTATTCTGAAATTACCTGTGAACTATGGGCCATTCTTTCTGATGCAGAGAATACTTGCTAAGGGCTCTTGATCTACAACTCCAAAAAATTAACTTATATGATGACTACATTTAATTCTTCTCTTTGCTTTTCTCTGTTCATTCAGGAATTTCTCTTCAAGACATCAGGCCATCTGGACTTGTTACTACTCCTCTTTTATAGACTCTTAAGTATCAGTTCTCTCTCTCCCTCTCCCTCTCCTATACTAGGGATTGAACTCAGGCATGAGCCACCACACCTGGCTGGCTTTTGTTTGTTTGTTTGTTTTTTGACACAGAGATTCCCCATGTAGTTCAGGCTGGCCTTGAGCTCACTGTGTGGCCTCAAGCTCCTGGTGATCTTCCTGCCTCAGCCTCCCAAGTGCTGGGGTTACAGGTCTGAACCGTCACACCCAGCTGCTTTACTTTCTTTCTTTTTGTACTAGAAATCAAGCTCAGGACCTTGTTCTTGCCAGGCAGGCACTGAGCATATTCCCAGCCCTTAAACGTTTTCTTTGGAGACAGGCTCTCTGTAACCAAATTTCCTAGGCTAGGGCTGGAGTTCGCAGTCCTCCTGCCTCAGCTTCTCAGAGCGCTGGTGTTCTTGGCAGGCATCGCCACACCTGGCTGTCTCCCTCGTATTTAGAATTCCCAAGAAACCCACTATAAAAAAGGATTTATAAAAGCTCATTTATAAACCTTTGGGTGTGACGTCTTTACTTGGATGTGGAGTCTTTACTCACCTCTCCACGGACCGTCGTGCCGCTTGTTCTCTTCCATCCTGTCCCTGGCTCTCCACCCTCCTGGCTGTCATGGCCTGTTCACTCTGGCCCTGTGCCCTGTGCCGAACCCTTTCTCGCAGGGTCGTCCTTCACTCCGAGATGCTTTGCTGTTGGGCACGGACTCCACAGCGACTTTTAACCAGGATTGCAGGGTCTAGTCCTGGGTGGCCTGACCCTCACGTCTTTCCAGCTTTCTGCTGCACAAGCTGGCCTCCTGCGCTCCTCCTCTGCCACCCACACCTTGGAACAAAGAAGGCCACTGGAACAAGCCCCAGTGGCGAGTGGCTCCCAGCTGCCACTGCTCTGTCCTTCTGTTGGCTCCTTTGGGCTTAGTGCCTGTCACTTAGTGACAACTTTGGAGGGAGTGGCAGTAAACACAGCTTGACCCACGTACTTACCTAGATTTTCCTCTGGAGCAGCAGCCCCTAGGCTGCTTGGCTCACGTCCCAGCAGGCCACGGACCAGTACCAGCCCAAGAGGTCTTCCGAAGGGGTCCGGGGATCTGTCAATGAGTCAGTGTCCTCGGATGGGAGTGGCTGAGGTGGATGGAGCGAGGAGGCCTCCTGGCCAGGCCACCAGCCTGCTGTGCACTTAGAGTGCCGCCAACTCCTTGCAGGCCGGGTGAGTAGGGGAAGGAGGGGACACTGATGTGAATGGCGCTGTGTGCCACTTGGCCAGACTTTCTCCTGCTTCTTAAGAGTCTCTTAGCCCTATCGATTCCCTTTTTGGGGTGATGGGGTCTCATTATGCTGCCCAGGCTGGTCTTGACTCCTGGACTCCTGCCTCTGCCTTCTGTGGAGCTGGGACGGCACCTATGTGTGACCATGCCCAGCCTCTTTATTTGTAGCAAATGAAGGAAGAAAGAGAAACGTAGCGTCATTCTTCTGTTGCCCCTTCTACCCTTAGTACGGCGAGTGCACAATGAGTGAGGGGCACAGGCGGGCAGGGAGGCATCACCGTACCACCAGGAGGTGCCCGGGGCCGGTGGGAAGACAGGTTGGAAGTGGGAGCCATCCGTTCCTAGACTTCTAAATAATCTCGCCCAAGTGCTCCCATACTCTTAACGAACACGTGGGAAGCACGGGGGAGTCTCGTTTCCCCTGTAGGCTCTTGCGGCTGTGACTGTTGACCTGGGAAGGGCGACACCTCAAGACTCCTTGACGTCTGTGGCAGAAGGGGATCTGAGCACGGAGGGAGAAGGATGGGGGCAGAAAATGGACTTTAAGACAAGAGCAGGGGCGCGCAGCTGTGTCCCTACACAGCAGCTTCCTCGATGGCGGTGACATTCCACCCACAGAAGAGTAATGACTATGCCGCTGACGTAGGGCTGTGGGTGAGAGCGCGACTCGGAAATCCGGAAACACGCGCGGTGGAGACGCCAGCACCGCTGACCCCCAAGCGCTGCACCCGCAGACAGGCCTGGTCGGCGGTGCACACCACGGAGTTCTTGTCCGGCTAAGTGCCGGCCTCTGACCGCAAGTGGAGGCCGCGGCTGGAGGGGAGCAGCAGATGGCCCGGGGAGGGGCAGACGCAGCTTCCTGGGTCAGGGGAGACCGACCTGCAGGGCTCAGTCGGGCGTCTAGGTTTACCAGAACTGGGGAGTTGAACTTCATCTCCCTCTACATAAATTTTACTGCAGCTCTTTTTTAGCTAAAAAGAAGAAAGTTAGAGCAAGATTTTAAAGTTTTTCCCAGAATCCTCTTCCCTGTCCCCGCGCCCCCATGTTGGTCCTTGTTTCTCCTGACACTGGGAATCCTGCGCGCAGTCCCCCGCCGGGGTGCAGGGGCCTCCTGGCTCCTGTCTGTTCAGCCTTCAGTGCCAGACCAGGGACAGTGCTCGGGGCTGTTACTCTCAGCCACGCAGCAGTCCCCTCTGTGTGCCTCTGGCCTCTCTTGTCACTGGTTCCTTATTGTAGCAGGGTTACTTATCTTCTTAAACAAATCCTTTTCTAGATTTTGCGTGCCCTATTTTTTGGGTTCTTCCTCCATGATTTCCGACTATTCAGAAAGAAGTCGGTGTGAGTTGGCTCAAAGAAGGGGCCCTGCATTAGATAGAAATGTTTGGATCCTGATAAGAAGACCCGCGGTAGAAATTCCACACATGCAGACTTGGGCATACTAACTAATCTGGCTGAGTTTAGGTTGTTTGCACATGTAAAACTTAGATATTAAAACCAAGCCATGGAGTAGTTGGTAAGAAGCAGAGACAGCATCTGTAGACATGGCTACCATGCCTGGTAGGTGTGCCAGTTTGCTTTCTGGTGCTAGAACAAAGCTACCCAAGGCTAGATAATTTATCAAGAAAAGAGGTTTCCTTTTCTTACAGTTCTGGCAATCCAAGAGCACAGCACCATCCACCTGAGGTGGACCTCCAGGTGGACGGCATCACAATGTGGAAGGGTCACATGGTGACACAGGAGCCAGGGGTGGGGAGGGGCCAGTCTTCCTTTATAAATAACAACTCATACTCAAGAACTAAATGAGTCCCTTCTGCAGGTGATGCCCTCATAATCTAAGGAGGATACCAGGCTCTGCCACTTAAAGCTCTGCCACCTCCCAACATCACTCTGGGGACAGTGCTTTCAACACACAAGCCACTGGGGAGCAAACCACGTTTCAGCCAGAATGGTGAGTGACCATGCTGGGATGACTCTGGCTGGCCGATTATTCTCCAGAGGAGCATTTCCTGAAGTAGGCTCACTGCCCAAAAAGCTCAAGGCCTTTCTCATAGGGTGTCCCCAGCTTACCTGTCACCTCTCTATGCAGGCCTGAGCCCTCCTAGCTTCCTGCTACTGATGACAGGACAGCAGGTGCCACTGGAGGTAGAGGTAGGTGGCTGCCACCTCCACCCTTCCCAGCGATAGCAATGGGAGACATTTTCTACAGCCGTGGCTGGGCCACCTCGCTCCCTTCTGCTTTGCCTGCAGCACTGCCCCACGTCTCCAAGCTAATCACTTGCATTCTACCATTTCTTTTCTTCTCAGCAGACCCTAAATGATGCTATTTAAAAAGAGCTTCTTTGAGTCATTTTTCTAAATGGTCCAGCTGGATGAAATCATTGAGTCAGCTAACAAAGATTATCTTTCAAAAGGGTTCCCGAGATGCTTAATTAGCACTCATCAGATTTAATGACATTGTCTTTTTACGTGTCACCTGTAGGCTTTTTGGAGAATCCAGTTAGGTCCATGGAAGGATTGATGATTTTGGTTGCTGACTTTCAAGTTTTGATGGTTCTGGTGATTTTGATGCAGCCAACTGTCTAGTGTTTTCATTCTTACCGTTGCTTCTCCGCTGTCCCTGAGCCCACAGTGCATGAGGGGGACCACAGGCTTGGAGCCACACATACATAACTGGGTTTTTGTCCTGGCTCAGCCTCTTAGCACCTGTGTGACCTCAGGCAAGTTACCTACCCATGCTGAGCCTCAGCGGAGGCATCTGCAGATCGTGTGCAGCTGGTTGATTGTGCAGATGGGAGATCGCATAGATAATGGCATGGTGTGGGCCACACGCGAGGCCCTGAATAAATAATCGCCTAACGGCATGATAACAACAGTAATGATTTCCACCATTCTAATGGAGAAGACAAAGCCCAATTGATTGTTAGTGGCTGGATTGCAGTCTTCCACCTCAGGGAAGCCACTGAAGAGGACACAGTTCTCCACCATGGCAGGAGGGATCTGCTGGTCCTGCTCAAGGGCAAGTAGTGTAAACTTAGATTTTTGTCACAGAACCTAGCAGGACACAATATTCCATACATCATGCTGTTGGCTCCAGCCTATTATACAAGAACAGATTGCTCATGGCTCTAACTTCCTCCTTTGGTGTTTGAGACAGGCTCTCACAAACGTAGTTCAGGCTGGCCTTGAACTCATTTATGTGGCTCAGATCCACCTTCAGCTCACAGGGATCCACCACCCCAGTCCCCCAAATGCTGGGATTGCAGCTGTGTGCCACCACACCCGGCTGCCAACTAATCTTGTGATGAGTCTTGTCCTGGAGAGATCCAGTGGCCCCGGAGCAGTGGGGTGAGCTCAGTTCTTCGGCCAGCCCCCGGCGGGGGTGCAGGCCATGCCCATCTCCTTCTCGCCCGGAGGTTCTCCACCGTGCTGTGACCTCAGGTCTGTCATCTCACTTCCCTGGCCCATTTCCTCAGCCCTGAAAGCCATGGCAGGGGACAGCCAGCTGATACCAAAGCGCGCAATCTGAGAAGCACCATGAACCTGAGACTCGCTGACCCCACTCTCAGGTTCCGGTAGAAGGAGACAGATTGACACAAGGAAAAACTTGGCAATGAGTTTCTGTCTAGATCCATGAGGTCCTGGTCCTGCTCAAAATAGTGGCCATCTTTCTCCTCAGCAGAGCCCAGCCACCCTTTTCCTGACTCTTACTTTGTCAGCAAGCTCTTTCCCAATTTTGCCGATGGGCTTGGATCTGGGAGTGCCCTGTGTTTACTCCTAATTGCCTGCTCCTTGCCTTGTACCTGCCTGCCACATCTTGGCCAATGGAGAATATCATATTGGAAATTCCATTCCTGCAGACACTCGCTTGGTTTCTCATCTTCCCAATGTCATTCTTTCAGATCTATCACCTTACATGAGCCCTGCAGTAACCTTCCAGGGTAAGATGTCTTCCTGAAATCAGAAGACTTAGAAAGGCAGAGCAAGTCCCAGGCGCCCATAGTTGATGGAATCTAGGTTAAACCCTGGATCCACTGACACCATTCCTTAAAGATCCTCAAAACCCACATTTCACAGTACAGTTAGTGTTTAGGGTAATATTTTTTTAACTGTAAAGGTGAACTATTGCAATAAAGATAACCCATCCGACAGGAGTACAGCGACATGGAGATTCATCTTCTCCAAATGCAGCAGTGGGTTAGTGGCTGAGCAGAGCGGGTCAGCGCTGAGGAGACCACCAGGTCCAACCCTTACGCCGTGCAGGTGATGCGTGGGCATCAACGGGAAGTGGTTTTGCCTGACGTCACAGGTCACATTTTGCCACCACCTGCAGAGCTTTCAGGAAGTGGAGAGAAAGGCAAATGAACCTCCTAGACCAGGGAGGATTCAGCCAACCCGCAGCCCTGGTTCTGCCAAGGGCGGGGGTCGAGGGTTGGTGCGCAGCCGACATCGTGGTTGTGACAAAGACAGATGCATCACCTGCTGGCCAGGGAGACTGGCAATGCTCCTGCCACACCTCTCCCACGTGAGTCCTCGGGAAGGCCCCAGATGGCTGCCTGAGGTGTGCAGGGACACAGAGCTGACTAAATCAGGCCACTTTCTTGGTCACATAAGTACCTCCTTCACGAAGCCACAGTGGGTCGCCTCTGGGCCTCAGGGCTGCTTGTCCACCATCTGCCCCTCCTGCAGCGTTGCCACCTTCCCCGGGTCCTGGACGCTGCCCTCCTAGCTCACCAGAAAGAAAGCCCATGCAACCTACCCTGCAAGGTTATAGCTGTGACTGAAACCACTCTAGCATAGAGCCTGAGCCCAGGAGGCCCCCGGAATGGCAGCTGTTAGCACAGTTTATGATGCTTTCGCTCCTGTCCACAGCCTACAGGCTCCTAGAGCATCAGGGCAGGCCGCTCGCTTCTGCTCTCCAGGTCCTGGTGCCTAAGAACTGCAGCACGGTAGGAATACTCTGCACTGGCTGGTGTGTGGGCATATGTGTGCATCTGTGGTCACAGGCCCTGCCCTGCCAGGCCTGCCACCCAGGTCTCTCTGCTGCAGCCAGGGGAAGGTGAGACCTTCATGAAGAAAATAAATGCCTTTGCTAGGGGATTCTCTAAAGCACAGAACTGAGGATTTGGGGGTCACGCTGGTCACCCTGGCTGTCCACCAAGGCCCTGTGAACACAAGCAGCCTCCCAGTGTGCAGAAGGTGTACATGGATTGCACACAAATGTGACTTTTGAGAAGTTTCCAGTTACAAGAAAAGCCTGTCCAAATCTGTTTTTGTGGAGCAGGTGTGGTGAGCCTAAGCCACCCAACTGGCACTCAGCCGAACACTCCCGACCCGCAGCCCACCCGGGGAGCAGACGCGAGACCCTGAGCACCCGTACTCACCACTCATCGCGACATCAGTCCCACGACAAGCTTGCTGGGTGCCAGGGCTGCTGTCACTGAAGTAAAAACAAAAACTAGGCGCTTGAGAAAAGCTGGAGCTCCTCCATGCTCCTTGGGTGACTTCTAAATTTGGAAGGAGACTTTGGCCTTCCCGAAGGTCCCACTGTGACAGCTTGTGGGCATGGTCACTCTGTCAGGACACAGAAACTTTCTGGTGTTGTATTGTTGCTATTTATATGAATCTCTTGTGTTTGTACCCAACTGCAAACTTCCCATGGTCAGATAAGAAATCCTACCCCCTCCCTTAGCACACAGGTTTTGCCGTGGAATGTATGGTAAATATTTCTCGAATAAAGGAAAAAGCTGAAGTTAAACCTACCTTGATACTTGAATAACTATAAAAAGCCTTAAAAGGAGTAGAACATTTCACATAACCATTTAAAGGTGGCATTTACCAAGCGAGTTGGAGCTCCGAGATAATTCCTCGAAGGACAAGGCGGAGTGTCTTTCTTTTGAATATGTACATCCAGCTATTTTGTGAATTCCTCAAGGATACAGACTACATTTTTAAATCCTTTCAAATCCCCATTGCCTAGAACATTTTTTGCACAAGGTTTTGCGCTGTGTTTCTTAAGGTGGAAATGTCCTCCTTGCTTCGCGTATTAAAAAGTGGTGCATTCTCAATGGAAATGTCACGCAGAAAGAACATGGTCCATCCAGGCCTGGCTCCCAAAAGCCTATTTGCTAATGGTTTTCTGCGGTTTGATGCAGTGTGAGTGATGTATTTAGACACTTGTAGCTGTTCTCTGTGATCTGCATTAAAAACCGGCACAGGGCCTCGGTCTCCACACACACGTCGACACACGCGGCCTCCCTCCCTCTGGCCGCTGCCTCTGCCACAACTGCGGGCAGGGTCCTCTTTCTGCAGTTGCAAAGCACACCGCTGTGACAGCCTCGTGCTCCAGTCTCCTTTGGCCTGTGAGCATTTCTTGGGGCCCCCTCAGATACAGGATTTATAGGTTCAAGGGTGTAAACATTTAACATTTTGATGGCTACTGCCAAAAGCTTTCCTCCAAAATGTTTCCTTTGTGCTCTTCTGAACACACTCCCAGCTGAAATCAAGACGGCCTGCTGGCCTTACCTTCCCCATCCTTGCCGGCGCATGCCTGAAAACTCGCAGTGCTAGTCCTTGCAGTGACGCCTCAGGTACGGAAGGCCCCGGATGCTTCTCCAGCTGTCCTGTCGTAGGACGCACGGTGTCCGACCTCAGCAATGGTCACTGGGCTGAGTAGGGCAGCTTCTTATTTCTCTTTTGACATTTCAGCTCTCTAGAGTTGTGCCGGCTTTCACCGTGAGTTAAGCAGTTTGCATCAACACTGAAGTGGGCCCTCGCCGGTCTCTGGGTTTCTTTCCCCAGCACGAGGGCAGGGCCCTCTGAGGAGGGGCCCCCGGGGTCCAGCAAGTCCTACATTTATGCCAAAGCACAAAGAGCAACATGATTTGGGTGTTTGGTTTCTGTAGTCCAATAAATCCTCCTTTATGACCAAACCAAACTGGGACAGGAGGAGACAGGTGGCCCAGACGCTGTCCTCAGGCCTGCGCTGGCACTCTGGGCTGTGGGCGGTGGCCAGCGCCAGCTCAGGGGCAGTGTTCCCGCAGCTGTCTAGAAAAGGCTGGAGAGGAGGCTAGGGAGGAGGCTGGGGAGGAGCCTGGGGAGGAGGCTGGAGAAGAGGCTGGGGAGGAGGCTGGAGAAGAGGCTGGGGAGGAGGCTGGAGAAGAGGCTGGGGAGGAGCCTGGGGAGGAGGCTGGAGAAGAGGCTGGGGAGGAGGCTGGAGAAGAGGCTGGGGAGAAGGCTGGAGAGGAGGCTGGGGAGGAGGCTGGAGAGGAGGCTGGAGAGGAGGCTGGGGAGGAGGTTGGAGAGGAGGCTGGAGAGGAGGCTGGGGAGGAGGCTGGGGAGGAGGCTGGGGGGAGGTAGGAGAGGAGGCTGGGGAGAAGGTAGGAGAGGAGGCTGGGGAGGAGGCTGGGGGG